GTCGGAACGTTTCGAACTGAAACCAGAGTCTTCATCAGCTGACAAATAAAGTAAATAAATAAAAATTAAGATATGAATAGGAAAACATAAAAAAATAAGTAAAGATGAAATTTAATTAGTCATAATACGATAAAATAGGAGGTAAATATACGAAATAATATAAAATAAGAGGGTTCCGTTTTTATTTGATATATATCTTTTAATTCCCACGTTCCGCATATTATGTATGTGTCCTACATATTAATTTTTGTATATTTACATATTCAGATTTTTCATGGGAATGCAGCTCGTTCTCTTTCCCTCTCCTCTTTCTCTCTCTCTCTCTCTCTCTCTCTCTTCCTCTCATTTCTCGTTCGTTCGCGCTCTCTGCCGCATCGCTACGGCTCGTTAGTTTTCCGGAAATGTATTCGAACACTGTTGCAATCGTGCGTTTGTCATGAGGTGCGCCACCCTCGTCGATCCGATCGCCGGTGCCCCACCTCGACCTGCGAGCCTAATCCCGGTTCGCAAATAACAAATGTAAATTTGCGGATCCGCGAGCTGCGCAGCTCATTTCCGGATGAATGCGACACCGTTGGGTAGTTTGTGAAAATACTCGATATTCGCCACCGCGTCTGATTATTTAGAAAGAGAAATATTTTCACCGCGGTGCTTCGACAAGAAATTCCGTATTTATTTCGCTCTCCGAAATAAATAACGTTTCGTACTTTCGCCTATGTCTTCGCACGTACATACGTGTATTGCGTGACGTAGAGATATTGTCGCTAGATACTATCGCAGTCTTTCCTATGGTATTTTAACGAGGGTCATTCATTTTGAATCATCATTAAGAGTCGTCTTAACGCTTTGTTGAAATTCTTCCGTTGAACATTTTTTGAATTTTAGTATATGGGAGTATTTAGAGTTGCGAATTGCAAATTTCAAAATAAATTTTAATAAATCTAAATGGCAGTCAAATTGAAAAAAAGTTAACTCTGGCTTTTTCCGTATACGTAAAAGTCTTTTAGGCTTCTGGGCAGCGATCACGTAATTTATTTTTCGTAGGGCGGATACGTGAAAAGTTTCATGTAACTATCTCTTTCTATTGATGCTGAATAGAAAGAGATAGTCACATGAAATTTATCACTTTTCACGTTTCCGCTCTAGGGATAAAGTTACATCATCGCTATTCTGATTTTAAATCTATCTACAGTCAAAATTTACAAAATGTCAAACTCCGATTGTAATAAAATTTTATTTTAGATGTGATAGATGAATTTAGAAGTTATCAGTAGGACCAAAAAAAGGACAAATAATTACATAAATTATGTTATTCATGTACATATACAAGTCTTAGGAATACAACGATACGAAATATGTTACACAAACCAATTATGAAATACGTGCATAGAAAAACTGCGAAGAAATAGGTCTTCTCATATACGGACACTATTAACAAAGGGTTAAGAGGGGCAGAGACGAGATAAGAACCTTCGGATAAGATTTCCGATACTGTGGGCGAATTCGAGATATGAATGAAATTAGAAGAGAAGCGTAAAACATTTTGTATATTTATCGCGGATCACAAGAATCAACTGATCTACCCTCCAGAATAAATCGATCGTGTTTTTCGCGCGCCAGTCAGAAACGCGCGTTTCGAAGTACGAAAGGATTGTTCCGTCCACATAACGGGGAGCCGCGCTAGAAGGCAAGGAGCCGAGCAAGACAAGACGAGACAAGGCAAGGCCTGGCTAAGACGCGAGAGAAGGCTTGGCTCTCTCTCTCTCTCTCTCTCTCTCTCTCTCTTTCTTTCTTTTTCTCTCTCTCTTTCTCTTTCTTCCGAGTTCGAGGCGAAGTCGCGTCGGCAGTCGCCACGGCCGTTTCTCAACCCTTTCGCGGTTACGTCACGTTAAAAAAGCTATTTGGGGTCAACACCCCGCGCTGCAGCGACACGTGTAGTACTCCTTGGATCCCTCCGTTCCCCCCGCCGCCCCGCGGCGGCCCTCCACCCCGCGGTAACGCGAAGACAGCCCTCTCTCCCTCCTTCTCCTCCGCGCGCGCAAGCAATGACGCCATTGCCGTCACCTCCCTTCCCTCCCTTCGTCTTGCTCGCCTACTCTAAGTGTTCCTTCTACTCTCGCTGAGGTTTCTAAGCTTCCTAGACGCGCCAGGGCCAGGATCTCCGTTCTGGACGGGCGCGCGAAGCACCGGGCGCCAAAGATTGCCGATAGGGTTGTTGTCAAACTCTATAATAAAACATGTTATATACTTTCGTCATTAAAAATTTTCCATTATAAATATATACTCATACATACATATACACATACACACATACATAAAAGAAAAAAAATGTATATTTTGTACAAGGAAAATGGAGAAACTATGTCAAATCGTAATGTCGAAACATTAACCCTCAAGGAAAAATAATCATAATGACCAGGTTTCTGCAATACACAGCAAGCTTTCTTGCGACACAGAGGAAACGTTAGTCGGAGGGAGAGAAGCGGATTATTGGGAAGGGATAAGACGGAGAGACGGGGGAAAGGCAAAGCAGCCCCGAGCGATACAGCCCTGGCCGTGGGCGCAACGAAAGAGTGGTAGGAGAGCCCAGCCAGCCGAGTTTCTCGAGGAACGAGCGAATGAGCGCGCACGCTCCGAGCTAGAACTAGCTAGACTCTCGCTAGAGCGGAGCCAAGGACACTAGGCGATCAGCAACAGTAGTCGCAAGAATCAAACGACAGTGGCGGCAGCGGCGGCGGCGGCGGCGGCGTCGGAGATGGTGGTGACTCCCCTTCACCCCGACCCACGCCGTCTGCACGCTCGTTTACCCTCAACCCCCCCTCCTGCCCCTCGATATTACCGTCGTCATCCTCAACCCCCTCCACCTCACCGCCGTCGCCGCCGCCGCCACCGCCACCGCCACCGCCGCTGCCCCGAGAGTCTCTCTCCGCAGCTTCCCCTTCCAGGCACTTTTTTTTGTCCGACTATACGCCACTCTCGTGTCCATCGCGACAAGGCGGCCGCTTCGGTGCCTTTTTATCAGTCGACCGAAAAGATCTCGCCGAGGATTCTGCCCCGTCGTACCGCGCCCCACGATCATTTGAGAACAGAGTACGCGAGAAGGAGAGAGAGAGCAACCCTCGAACATGCCGCGATAATACAAATATATAAATACATTGCATGTATGTATACGTATATCGCGCCAGAGCTCCCCTTTGCGCTCGTCTGGCCGCGCGAAACGGCGCGGGCGTCCCGTTAAACGCGACTGCCGAGGGGGTAGAGGGGCGGAACGAAGGAGATAAAGGGGAGGGCAAGCAAGAGAGAGAAAGAGAGACAGAGGACAGAAGTACAGTCGCGCAGTGCGGGCGATATGAAGTCGCGGCAACGTCAGCGCATTTGCGACGCGAGGCACGCGTGTTGGGGTGAGCGTGTCGCGGTCCTGTTGCCAGCGTAGCAATTCCGCCGACGACGGGACGACGCGGGAACCATCCAGGATTACTCGGTCGTGTTTTCGAACGGAACGTTTGACTTTGCGAGATTCGGACGGGTGAAGAGGAACATTTTGGGAGCGAAGCGTCATCGGCGAGCAACTTCAGGGACTTGCTGCTGGACACGCAACAGTGGTCGGGTAGGTTGGCGCACAACTTGAGGTTCCGTTGCGAAGCGACCTCGTGGTGGCGGCGGCGGTGATAGCGAGAGAGAGAGAGAGAAGGAAAGAGAGAAGGAGAGAGATGAACGCGGTTCGCCGCCGCCGCCTGGCGGAAAAAAGTGCGCAGGCGCGCGAATCGGCGCTCACGCTACTAACCCGCGACGACACCACCGCACACACCTTCCCTTCTCTCCGCCCCTTCCACCCCTCGTCCGCGTTCCGCGCTCCGCGAATTTCCTGTCCCGCGGCCAGGGGAGGAGATGGCGGGAGAGAGTATCACCTCCTCGCATCCCTCTCCACGTGCATCCCTGCGACGTTCGAGGCCGGTCCATCCCCACCCCTCTTCCACCGCGCAGGAAAGGACTTTGGTCTCGGTTTCTCTTCGTCCTCCGCCTTGACCCTCGCCCCCATACCCACCCGAAATGGTCAGCAACTTTCGCGACGGTGAAGATGAAGTTTCTCGGTAACCGAGCCGACCCGACGATAACTCGACACGCGGCGAGAGTCGACTTCAAGGTCGAAGGGTAGTTCTAGGAAATTAGGGAGAATCCGCTCTGCTAAATTAAGTTACAACGGTATTGTTCGCGCGAGATGGCTCAATATTCGCGCACCGATCTATCAACCCTTTTTTACACGGGGTCTCTTTGACGAGAGTCATCGGGATTATGCGCAGCGTCTATATACTTCTTAAGAAGCGGTACTCGTGGTCGGGGGAACGAAGGGCGGAGGGTACGTTCGAAAAAAAGAAGCCCGTGATACAAGGGCGTCATGGGGGCGGGCGAGGCGAGCGGCCGTCTCTCTCCGGGTCTGAGAGCGTGAGAACAAAGGGGCGAAAGCAAGTGCCCTTTTTCGAGGGTGATCGAGGGTGAGGGCCAAAAGTAGAACGGACAGGAGCGAGACGCGGCGCGGCTCACGAGTCTGTCGGCCGGGCGTCGAACGAGGACAACGCGACGTGCAATAAGAACGCGAGAGGGAATACGAGAGTGGCGTCCGTTCCTTGCGGGGGCTAACGCGAGGAAGAAGCAACACATGGGGCGGGTGAAGCGAGGGATAGGGGGGGAAGTTTCACATTCGCGACGGAGAGAGGCGCGTCGTCGTCGCGCTCGGGATTACGCGAGTGACGGAGACGGGACGAGGAGAGAGAGAGAAAGAGGAGAGACGAGCGGCGGCGAGGACGGCGCGGGCGCGCGAGCGAGCCGGGGGTGCGCGGGGAGCGCGCTGCGTAGGGTGCGGGGGTGGGGGAGCGAGCGAGAGGCCTCGCCAGGGTAGAGAGCGCGAGAGGGTGTAGTGGGGGAGCTCTGCGGCGGCGGCGGCGGCTCGTTTCGTTCCGTCGCGTTGCGTCGCGTCGCGTCGCGTCTCTAGGTGGCGGGCGCGGTGGTGGTAGAAGTTTTGCGCTTTTGCGGGAGGTTGCGAGTTGCGAAGCGAAGCGCGCGACGGCCCGACTCCTCGACTTCGGACCTCGGTTCGGCTCGACTCGACTCGGCCGTCGTCGGCGGCTCACGGTGGTTCGTTCGGTTGAACGAGGGCGCGCGAGCGACCAGCGAGCGAAGGCGAGCGTAGAGCGTATTATATACATTCGTTCGTTCGTTTCGTTCGGTTCGGGCGGGTGTGTCGCGCGCTCGTTGCTGCTGAGTGCTGCCTGCGTCGTCGCGCGGTTTGCGGCGCGGCACCGACGACGGTGAAGGGTACCGCGAGTGGAAGACACGTCCGTGGCTGGCTGGTCGGGCTAGGCGGGCGTAGGCGAGGTTCCGTGACGGCCGTTCGGTGGCGCAGCAGAAATTCCCCGACACGGCTCTGGCGCGCGGGTTGGTCGGGTTGGTCACACGGCGTTGGTGTGTGCGTGTGCGCCTGCCGTCTCGCTCTCGCGCACGACGTCCGTCCGGCGTGTGTGCGTGGCTCGCGCGGCGTATATACGCGTGTACGTGGTATATACACATACGTGCGGCTCGGCCCCGCGCGCGCGGTACGTATCTGCCCCGAGAGAGTCCGTCCGCGCCTCGACTTGCTGACATGGCGTCCTAGTGCTGCGCACGGGCGAAGTTGTGCACGTCCTTACGCGCGCGCCACGGAAACGGATCTTCGCTCCTTCGTCTCTCAACTCCGTGCGTGGCCGTCGTCGTCGTTGTCGTTATCCTCGTAGAACAGCGAGGATGCCAAGGTAAGTGGCGAGTGGTGCGCGTCGCGTGACGCGAGCGTCTAACGATAACTAACCAGGCGGTACGTCTAATTTTTTACGAGTGCCTACTCTCGTCGTCGTCGTCGCTCTCCTCGTGTCACGTTGTGTCGTCGCGTCTATCTCGCTGGTTCTTCTCGTCACTCGACACAGCAGCGACGAGGAGAGGAAGAAACCGGAGGTGTGCCCGCGCGACTTGGACTCTGTCGTCGGTCAGGACCGGGGCGCGGTGTCGATAAGCTCGAGAAAAATATTGCGACGGGGCGCTCGCGGGTCGCGAAACGAGACGGGACGACGGGATCGTCGGGCAGGGTCGTTGCCATCGCGTTAGCCACCCTCGCGAATCGATATCGCCCAGCGCGACCAGACGATCTTTCTCTCATTTCCTCCCTCGCGCGACACGTATACACCTCCGCGCGCGCCCCCTCCCTCCCCTGCGTCACCCTCGTCGTCCCTCTCATGCCATTCTCTCCCTCTTCGCACCCTCCCTCCGTTCCCGCACATTTGACCCTTGTACCCATCTCGGTTTTTCATTTTCTTCCACCTCGGCTGGATACCGCTCGGTGTGGTGCGTTAGTGCGCTCAGCCCCGCGTAGTCGCCGCGCCGCGCGAGTGTATGCCTGCGCTCGCGCGCGTGTCTGTGTTTACGTATGCGTGTATATGTACGCCGAGCGCTCACGCGCGCGCGCGCTCCTACGTGGCTGCGTCGGAAGGGTTAACAGCGGCGAATCGGCGGGGCAGAACGGAAGAGGTTAGTTTCGAGGTAGTTTCTTTTCCACGAAGCGAAACCGCGGACGTAGAAAGAACTCTCTCTCTCTCTCTCCGTCTCTCTTTCTCCCACCCTGCTACCCTTAAGGAGGAAAGAGACGGAGAGCGCGGACCGCGAGAGGGTACTACGTGGCTTATCGGCGCATCGACGGGCGGCGTGCTTCTCGACGTGGATTTTTCGCTCGGGAGAGGGTTGCGTAAATCCCTCTTCCCTCTCTCCGCTTCTTCTCCCCTTTTTCCCCACCCTCCCCCGACGTGCCACTCTACCCTACCCTCCCATTACCGTCCCCTCGCCCGCCGCCGCTCCCCCGACGTGTCGCGCGGTCGGCTACGGCGCTGCCCATAGGCGCCGATACGCCCCGGGGTGTCGAGGCCGACTTCAGCCCGTTCGGTGGAGCTCGGTCGTTTTCGGCCGTGTCCGTCCGTCCGTCCGTCCGTCCGCCGGGCATCCTCCCCCTCGCCAGTCGTCAGTTGCGCTCATTGAAGCCGCGTGCGTGCGTGCGTGTACCTCGCGCGCTACTCCCGTTCAGTTTTTTTCCTACCTCCTCGCGCGACCGCCGATCCTCGGCTCCCGGATTTCTTCTCGTTCCCTCGTTCGCGGGGCCCTAATAGCCCGGACGTCGCGATAACAGGTGAGGCCTCGGGCGACCACGACGCGATTCTCGGTCTACGGAGAGCACGTGTCTCTTTGGCGCTCCGCGCTCCTCTTCTTCTTCGTAGAGAGGGGAATCGAGGGGAGAGGAGCAAACGGACGGTTGATGCTGCGTCGCGCCGGGTAATTAAGTCGATCGACGCAACTTTGTGGTGTGATAACGAGTATTGTGCAACCTGTGTGCGTCCCCTCCCCCGCGCGCGCGCGCGCGCCCCTCTTTTCGAGAAGGAGGCGCACTGGCGGTGGATGCGCGGCGACGTGTTCGTGAGTCACGTCGGGGTGCTGCCGGTGTGTGGGTGAGTTTTTTTGTACTTCGTATGCCTGAGTACGTGCGTGCGTGCGTGCGTGCGTGCGCGTAAACCGCGCAGTGCCGTGTCTCTCGTGATGGTTTTCCCGGCGGGTTTTTGCGAGCGGGAGAAAAAATTACGTCGGTTACGTTCGTGATGCGCAGAAGGAAAAAAAACAAATGTGTGAGTCAGGAGAGAGAGAGAGACCGTTCCTTTGGGGGGTGAACTGTGCGAGAGAAATTGTCACGATATTTTTTTATTTTGGAAAACCGTTCTTATCTACTCCGATAAACGTGCACACGCGCCCACGTAGTGCTCCAATTGTCTTAATCTCCGGAGCCGAAATTTCACGGTGATAAATGAAGCGGTTTGCCGCGGGGCTCGTCGTTCTATCCTCGAGTTATCTCGATATACGGTTAACGGGGGGGATATTCGTGTTATCTTGGAAGATTATAGGCGCACTCGAGTTCTCGGGTTGGACTTGGCTCCTTGGCGTTTCGCAACACCGACACCCAAGGGCCTTCACACGAGATTTCGAGTGTTTATTCCACGCACGAGGTGTCAAGGAGCTCTATCATCGCCACGCCTCTCTATGGGAGAAGCGCCCGATAATGACACCCCGTATATATAGTTACGTAAACACCGTTTCCTTGAATTTTTTTTTTCAATCACGGATATATCCGAGAATATCTTAAATCTTTTCGATTGAAAATTAAAGGGTTTGTCGAAACCCATGATATTAGCATTCTAAAAGTTATCGAATTATTTCTTTTGATGATTTTTGAAAGCTGACAAATGGAATTTTTCTCAGAATTTTTTTTACCAATGTTTCTTACAACGATTCGTTTTCGTTTAATATATCACTCACTCCTCTGGTTATCGAGAGAGAGAGACCGAAAAAAAAGATCATCCGAGATATCCTTTCGATCGTACCCTCGCCCGTTTTCAAGGACTCGAGTGTCTCCGACTTCATAAAAAGTGCCGTAGATTCGAAAAGCATCGGAGTGAAGAGCGGGCTTGGGGGGGGGAAGGGAACGGGGGGGGAAGGAGGAGGGTGGAGGGCGCGGAGGGCTGCGATACACGCGGGCGACAAGTGCGTGCACGCAACGAAGCGTCGACACGTCGAGACCGTACCCACGTGCGTTCCGATGAGAATTTACATGCGACTTCCTGCGGGCTCTCGCTCGCCCTCCCTCCTGATTAAGAGTAGCGTGACGATTTTATCGCGGTACCCGCGAGGGGTTGAAGCGGCGCCAATTATGGTGGCGATGATGTTGATGATGGTAGTGTAGTCACGACGAAGGGAGAACGTAGATAAACAGTGCACACAGGGTTAATATATACGTTACGCATCGAATACGACGATTTTTCAATCTTCAGCGAGGATTCCGAACTTCCTCTGTTAATTCGTTTTTATATCTTCTCGGCGTTTCCTGGAATCTCCGTTCACGCCTCGAATCTCGGGATTTTCCCAGGTGTCTAATCTCCCCTCCAGAATTCCTGCCAGTTTCTCCCCTTGGTGAATCTTTTACTATCTGACATTTCGTCCCTTTTGATCGTTCGAATGGAAAATTTTCCCAACTTTTCGACTTTTGGCCTTTTATACCGTACCTTCCGCATTATCTGATTATTTTCTCCGCGTTATTCTCTTTGAATAATGCAGAGTTTGGAGTAGAGGAGAAAAGAAGCCCGGGGGTGTTCCCTGAACCGAGAAAAGGGGTTTCCGTGTATCGCGACTATAAAACGATGGGGGTTTCCTTTTTCCTGTTCTTCCACGGTGTACTGAAATCATGGCATTGCGCGTTTCTCTCTCTCTCTCTCTCTCCGCCGTTCCTGTTTCCTTTTACTAATTAATGTACATTCAGTCGTATTTGAACCGTGTCCAAAATCCATATCATCGAACTCATTACCGCGCGGTAAGCTTTATCTCAAAACTAATTCCTCGTACGTCACGCGAACTTATACAGGGTGTTCCGAGGTATTTCTACCTTGTACCACATACGATTTTCTTAATTCAAATGTAATTGTGTCTCTCGCCAAAAGTGCCGTCCATTTAATTCTGATCGCGTTTTATCATGGTCATGGAATTTTTTTTTTATGATTAGCTCTCTCGTCTCGTAAGTAAACGACGTAGAAGACAAGCGGTTTACGAAATTTGCCTATGTAATGGTGACAACTGGCGTATCTACTTCCCTTCCCTTATCCCCTTTTCGTTTATTACGTGTGTCGATTTACAAGTCGCGATCGTCAGGATATATCCGTTACAAGGAATGTCGAGACTCGGACAGCGGTTTGCACTCTTGCCAACTCGTTTGAGGTTTTGATTTTCAGGAAGATAGGGTAAATTGCGTGCGTTCGTGCACTGCAAGCGCGATTACGATAGCCGTAAGAATAGATAGCCCGGACTATTGTCTTTATCGTGTCTTTTCGTATAATTAAGAGTTGATTTAATTTTGGATATTTCCCAAGTAGAAGCACGATGTTATTTCTCAGCACGTATATATACATATCTCTGGCGTCTCTTTATATATTAATAATTATTAAAAATAACAATGTATTTGAGTGTATGTATTTATTATACATACCTACACAGGTAGCTATGATATTATATTAAATATTATATTAAATAAATTATAAATTAATTTAATGTGTACGTATATATATAAAATTCAAAAATGTAAAATAATTAGGCGCGCTTTCTTATCGACGTAGATATTATCGTGCTTGAAAATACTATAATTTTTTGTCGTGATGATCGCTCCAACAGAGTTATTCCGAATCTATGCACTCAGGCTCATGCCTCATCCCCTTCTCCCCTCTCTAAGCCCTTGATTCAATTAGCCGATCGATTTTTCGAATGACATCGCTTCGTTTCTTGGACGCGGCCCTCCGGGCGCGTTGTGGAACATTATTCTGCAATTGTCATATTCAGAAGGGTATCGAATATCCAACAATGACCCCTCTTTCGTTCCCTCTCAACGGCGATGGAGGCCGAAGGTCGTGGTTGGAAAGGGGCGCAAGGATTTATTCGCGGGGATCGCTGTTTCGAGCCGACTCCCTTTGTCCTTGCATTCGCACGTAAGAGAGAAAAAAAAGAGAGACTTTGCAACCCTGCTGCACTTGCGTGTACACTTGTTCCCGCGATCACGTCGTGCGACTACAAGCCCGAAGTGGATGTCGCGTCCTAGTTACACCTGCTGCGTCTCATTTATGCCTGGCGTATAGGGTCGAGATTTCAGGTAGTCGGCAAACTGGGGAAGAAAAGAGGGATTGTTGCC